ATCTGTTTCCTCGTCTCACTGTCGCCCGCAAAAATGACACTACATAGATTAAGATCCTTCAGACGAACGATGCAATAGTATAAATTGATGGTCTGTGACCATTCCAAATTTTGAAAAGTCCTTCCACAATTTGAATCCCAAAGCTCTTCAAATAATTGACAATGTTTCAGGTACAAATTTCCCTTGTATTCTCTTCCGCATTTTTCGACTATGATGCTCACAATTTCTAATGCCAGTTCCCAGAATAAAAAATCGTTACTATCAAACGACGAAAAAATATCTCTCCAAGAGCGAATGCAAAATATCCAAGGCCAATCCATCAGAAATACAGGTAGTTGTTTCCTCAAACATGATTTAAGGAAATAATTCATTTTTTCCTTGCTCTTTTCACCAAAAAAGTGCATACCAATTGTTGAATAGTTGTAGCTGGTCGTTTTGAGGAAATTGATAGATCCCAGGGAGAACATTGCATACTTCTCCTGCTCGGTTTTTATTCGATTCCAGCAGTATTCACTACACCACATATTTCCCTCTACCAGACTTTCAAGAAATAAGACAGTAGTAATAACTTTCTCATCCACAATTACCCCCCGGCCAAAGTATCGAGGGAGATACAATTGAGAAAAACAATCATTTGGAAATTCCCCATGGATTTTGTAATACCAGAGCAAAGGGTATACATTCATATTGCTGTTGCAATCACTTAGAGTGACAAGTGAGGAAAACCTTCTGATATCGGTTTCACTGCAGTAATAGCACAAGTGACACCAAGTGTCGTAATCTATGGATTGCTTGTTGCTCACGTAAGATTCTAACAATTTTTTGCCATCAACGCACCCAAAATTGTCCCAGCAAAAATTCCCAACGAAATATGACGATCGTCCTTCATCGTGAAGTAGAGGCCAGGTAGGAGATGAATCTTCTTTTAACCATCTGAGCATCCTCTTCCCCATTGATTCTAGGTAGAATTCCAAATCATTTATAATTGCTGTTGGTAGAATTAATTTATGAAGTTTTTGAAAAATCACGTAGTGAATTATTTCGTGTTCTGGTCCTACACGTTTAACATTTTCTACAACATCTGGTAGTCGCCATAATAGTTGACATATTTTCACCATGGTTATGTGTTGTAATTTTATTTCCACTGTGAAATTCTTGTACTCGTATAACATTATGGCATTTTAATTATATTCATGGGGTTAATTAATATTGTTGCTCAGTTAATGCTTTTTTGAAACTCCCCGATTCCCTAGCGCGTAATCAAGTTCGCCAAACTTCGGATGTCTCACAGTGAGTCATTCTGCTGACAATGGAATCGGCCACGTTTTTTAGATTTGAGCGTCAAATTTCGAATGTAAATGGATGAGAAACTATTATAAAATTCGACTGCTTTATTGGTCGCTAGCCCCCATTGCGAATTGACGTGGGTGTGACCCATTACGCCTCGAATCAATAAGTTCCCGACCAATTTCCATTTTTCTGTTTATTAGAAAGAAAAAAGCACAAATTTTGAAATTTCCATTCGGTTAACAAGAAGCCGGCTGAGACGATTTGGCTCAGAATCCAATCGAAATCAAATTGCATGTAGATGCATCGACCGTATTAAAAAAAATCAAAACCCATCATTATTCTCACTAAAATTGTTGAATTAAAAAAAAATCACTTTTGTCGATTTTTTCACAAGTTTTATGAGTAATTCCACGTCAAATCCGAAATGAAAAAAATTTCATGTTTCGGATTGTCTTGCCGATTTTTTTCTTAGAAGAAATACATGAGATCAAGCTCTCGTAAAATTTTTAGAGCGATACGATTTTTTTTCAGCGAGTTATATTTTTAAAAAATTCACTTTTTGCACTTGAATTTTGATTGTTTGAGAAAACAAGCGAAATAATTGAAATTAATGAATAGGAATGAAATTTTTGTTGCCACACATTGGAAGGTAATTGGAAAAGCGTTCAAATGAGCGCAATTGAACTCAATTTATTCAATTTTTAGAGTCGTTATGGCGAAATCAAATTTTTTGTTCAATCTGTAATTACTCGAAAACTTTTTTTTTTATCTGAAATTTTAGGGGTTACTGGGGGACATTATTACCGATATTTTTGCCAAAGGACAATAATTATTTTGCAGTCGTTCTTCGTTAAACGAATTTTTTTTTTCGGAAAATTCGTTTCCGGAAACAATGCGTAAATGACAAAGAAAAAAATTTTATGACTAGTAATAGTTGAAAAAGTGACTTATTTCAAGCCGTTGAATAGTTTTATGTTATACTTCAGAACATATAACTATTCACTTGACCGTTACGGTGACGGAGCGGACACTTAAGAATCCTGACATATTTGATAATCGATGAATTTAAGACACATTGGATTTTCAAATCGTTTTGGAATTGTGAAATTATGGGTATTTAACTTTTTCAATGTTGTCGTCTCACATAAAATGTTAAAACAACTTATAGAGATAATTTTTTCCTCAACAGAGAATTCATATCGTCGCATTAAAATCAAAGGGGCGTAAGTGCCATTTCTCTGAAATTTTTTTTCTCTTAATACCAAAGGGGCGTATGTTTTTTTTTTCCTTCGAAATGGAGTTTTCGCAACTTATGAAAGGTTTTTTGTGGACAAATTTCTGAAGTGGCAAATGGACGTAAGTCCGACTAGCAAGTACTGAAGGGGCGTATCTCCAGCACATACGCCTCTGTCTTTTTATACTTTTTGTTTCTTTTCTAGCTCATATTGAGAATGAATAATTCCAAAGGGACGTAACTCAGGCACATACGTCCCTTTGTTTTTGAAGCAATAATCACAGAGGGGCGTAACTCCAATATATATGTCCCTTCATTTGTTACTGTTCGTTCCTATTGATTCATCAAGTATAAACGGAATCACATGCACTACAGCCCTAATAATAAATAATATTTGATTCTACATTAACCTCCCCTCCCTCCCTCTCATCATGAATGTTCAAATTATTTCCCTTTGATTTTTTGCTTGAATGAAACAATTTCATGAGAAATATCAGTAACTAAACTAAAATTTTCTAAAATTTTCTTCTAAATTTATTCGATTTCATTCATTAATTTATTTCATTTTTTTAAAATTATGACTGCGAATTTCAGGAAATTATCTGTATGAAATTTCGAGTCGTGACTGCTTTGAACACTTCGGAAGAAAATGAGACCATAAAGGAAGAAGAAAATAGTTAAAGCGTTTTATGTTGATATAACAATATAAAACTCATTATCGCGAGTAGACCTAAGATATAATGAGAGAGAGGCGTATGTGGGACTTACGCCCTTTTCGTTTTATTTCAACATGAAATGTGTCATCCGAAGTGCACAACACATAATGTAAAAAGGGCGTAAGTGTCATTTTTTGAATGAAATGAAACAGGCGTAAGTATGGGGATACGCTCCTTTCCCGTTGAAATATAGCAATTACGCCTTTTTCCTAGATTTTTTTTTTTACAATTTTTGGTCAGAAATTCCATGAAAAACCGAAAAAACAGGAATTCGGAACATACGCCCCTTTCACTTTTAAAATGGGTTTTTTGGCACTTACGCCCCTTTCATTTTAATGCGACGATATGAAGACGCAGGCCCACATGACAACATCAAAGCGGGTTCAAATGAAGTGGAAATTAAGCCTCTACCGAATATTATTCCCACACTAAGAAAGAAAATTATTTTTGTCAAATATCCATTTACTTAACAGAAGTATTTATTTTTTCAATAACGTATTGCTCCAGTCGAGTCATTCCCAGATAAGCCTGATTAAGTTTCAATTATGACACTCATGTTGCTCTAGAGGATGACTATATTACACATGAACTCCTCCAATGATTATTCATTTTTCCTAAATTTCTAATTTTCCACAAGGAAGAATTTCGATTAATTTTTTTTGTGATACCTGCCTCAAAAGTGCACTTTTCGAAACGGATTAGTGTGCGTAAAGCGGTTGTTTTCCGCATGGCGTGCGTAAAGTTCACGAGCGTGCGTAAAGTGATTTTTTTTTGTGCGTAGACCTTCGATTTACGTACTCGAAATTCACTTTACGCACGCTCTTGAACTTTACGCACTCGTACACAAAAACAACCACATTACCCCCACTACCGTTTCGAACAGTGAACTCGGCAGGTACCACAAAAATACGATGTGTTACACGTGCGTGTGAAAAAGTGGAAATTTACGCACTAGTAACACAATATACTATTAATATTGATAATTATTGGGGGAGTTCTCAAGGTTATAACTGACATGATCATCTTCTTGAGAAGTATATTGTCATAATTGAAACCTAATGAGTATTGTCTCGGAATGACTCGACTGGAGACATACGTTATTAAAAAAATTAATACTTCTCTTAAATGAATGGATATTTGACAAAAATATTTTTTTTTTCACTGTAGGAATGGTAGTCGGCAGAGGTTTGAGTTCCACTTTATTCGAAGCCATTTTGATGTTGCCATGTGGGCCTGCGTCTTCATATAAATTCCCTGTTGAGAAAAAATTTATCTTCACAAGTTGATTCAACATTTTATGTAAGGCGACAACATTGAAAAAGTCAAAAACCAACACTTTCACAATTCCAAAACAATTAGAAAATACAATCCGCTGTAAATTCATTAGTTATCAAATAAGTCAGGATCACCTTTGCTTTGTCTCACGGTACCCGACATTTCGCCGTTTTGTAGTGGTGTACGTGCGCCGGCGTGCTTCTTCTTCTTCTTCTTCTTCTTCTTCTTCTTTTTTATGGCTCTAGCTGGGGTGAAATTCTCCGCGTTTAAGGTACCTTAAAATCCTTACGTTTAATTCTCCGCCAGGGGGAGCTTTGCGCTAGTTTCGATGAGTTTCCGAACGCTAGTTACCTTCGGTGCCGAAGAGGGAATCATTTGAAAAGTTTTGTGAGTTTTTACGTTTTTCTAATAATTATCGAAACAATAAGTGTTAAAAAGTGATGTTCGCGTTGCCTGGAATTATTGGTGCAGTTATAGCAGGAGGGATGGCTGTGGATGAAATAGAAGCAGCCAACAATCAACACATTTTCCAAGAAAATCGAGCTCGCAATGAAATTGTGAGGAATCTTTTCGATCCATTGGAATCGTTGACAGATGCAGTTTTTAGAGAGAGATTTCGGTAATCAATTATTTTTCTATGAACATGAAGTATTGTTATAAACGTGGGGATGAACGAGTATAAATTTGTCATTCTCCCAGCTTGGAAATTTCACTGCTTTTCATCAGTTCTAATTGGCTTGTTCGTAATTTATGGAGAGGCGGTTGTATTTTATATTTCAGATTAACGAAACCAATAGCATTATGGTTGATCAGAAGAATCACTCCCTTATTAAACGATGAAGGTGCTACGCCAACAATCCCCAAAAGAACCCAGGTATCATGTTTGACAATGTATAGTATACATTTAACCAAATATTCAAGTAACAGAATATAATCTGAAACATTCGCAACTAATTGCCACATATTTTTTAAACAAATATTGAACACACTGCGATTTTATGCATCGGGGTCTTTCCAAATGTGCATCGGTGACATGAAATACTTTTGAGTATCACAACCCATCGTCAGTCAAATAATTGCCAATGTAACAGAGGTAATCGTTACATTAACTGACGAGTTTATCCAATTCCCTCAAACTCATCAGAAATTGGAAGAGATTTCCCAAGGGTATAAACTCTCAACTTGTTTTAATATTGAGTTCTTAGCAATTCTCAAAGTAGAATAATCCACTAAAAAATTTAATTTTGTTCAGATTCGAGGCGGAGTCACGTTTCCCTGGAATCATTGGATGTATTGATTGCACCCACATTGCTCGGCATGGACCGGTTGAGGAGCCATGGAGTTATAAAAACTACAAAGGTTTTTATTCCATCAATGTCCAAGCAACATGTGATCATAAATTACGAATCACATCCATCGATGCATATCCTGGAAGAGTGCACGATGCCAGGATATGGCGACAATCAGATGTGAAAGAAGCTGTGCAAACAATGAGTGATGAATATGATAGCAGATACTTTTTATTGGGTACATGAATTAATCAAAAAGCTTCAGAATGAATAATATTTGATTGCAAAATGACTAATAATGAATGTTTTTTCCATTTCAGGTGATGCTGGATACCCTCTGTCACCAATAATTATGACCCCGATAGTTGATGCAGCAGAAGGTACTCCAGAGTATAGATATACCAGACGACATACACACACGCGATGTGCGATTGAGCGAGTCTTTGGAATGTTAAAAGGACGATTCCGGTGTTTGCATAAAGACAGTCTTGTTGTATGCACCGGAGAAAGTTGTGAATTTTTTTAAAAGTTGTGTTATCCTTCATAACATTATGATTGAACGCGGGTAAGCCTTTATTTCTAGAAACATATTCATTTGTTGTGTTCTTACATTGTTACTGTTTTTTTCTCATATACTTTTAGATTAAACTATGAAGATGAGGATCTCGGGGAGTTAGATCATGATGAACAGCAGCCCCTAAATGATGGAGCACCTGATGCTGCTGCACGAAGAGCAAGAAATCAAGACTTGCAGAGAGGACGTGAGCTACGGCAGAATATAATAGATAATTATTTCTTATGATGAGTATTGTTTTATTCTGTGACTGTTAAGTCCATGCAACTAATAAATGGTTCATAAAATTGGCTCGCTCACTTAAGTTTGTCCTTGGAAGTCCAGAAAACCCTTCATGAACTCCCACTCCGATGGAGGCAAGGTCGATGTGCGTGAAGGTCTTTCAAACAAACCTTCATCTGGAATAGAGTGTGAGGGTGTTAGCAAGTTGCGCTGTGATGATGGCAACTGTGAATCCTCGTCAAAATTCCTGTTGTTAAAATTGCCTGTTGGGATGAGTGAAGGATGCTGTGGGAGAATAATGTTGTCTCCTGCTAGGTGTGCTGGCTGAGGAGCGAGTTGCATTATTGCACTCCTAGGACCTGCCTGTCCTCCACTTTCCTGGGTTTTGGAAGGCCCGTTGGCTGCTAGAAGACGAGGGAGCTTCTTGACGATTACACCTTTGGGTATATTTTGTAGATCAATTTTCTTCAATTTCCATGACCCACTAGGTGCTGGAAGACCCACAGATTCAGGAGACCTTCTTCATGGTCACACCTTTAGGCATAGATTTCATGTTGAATTTCTTTATCTTCAGAGGATCATGGGGTGTTTGAAGAAGTATAGATCTATTAGGGAGTTTTTTGATAACCGCACCTTTGGGTATATCCTTCACATCGATTTTTTTGAATTTCCACGAGACATTAGCTACTGGAGGGATCGCATGTTTGGGGTAGAGTGGCTGCACCCCTACATTTTGAGTAACACCCTCGATATTACTCTTCTTCACTTCCAACTCAACATTGGCTGTTGGGAGATGTCCAGGTTGAGGGGAGACGTGCACGGGTTCTGGAGACTCCTTCAGCGAATGAGAATGCTTCGTCTCATGAGTTGATTCGTCTTGGGTTGTTGGAGTGACTGAATCGGGATGAAAGGATGTCACTGAAGACTGGGGGGGAATTGTAACATCCAGACCATATTTTAGGCATCCTAATTGTGCTACTGAATCATCCAGAGAGTCGTATAATGGCTGTTGGAGTACTGGAGTCAGTGGGGGGTACTTGATATTTGATTTGTAGCTAGTGCACTTCGTTTGGGCTTGTGAGCAATCTGGGGATGGCTGAGGGAAGACAGCTGGTGATGGGAGGGGAGTGATTGTTCCGACTGGAAACTCATGTTAGCCTGCTGCAGGCGGTGAAAATTGACCAAAGAACGAATTTAGGAGGGGCAGCGAAGATATTGAAGATCGCGCGGCATTTGACTGAAAGTTGCACGAGTCTACCGGCGGCTCTCTGCATGTAGAGTCTGGATAGTCTCCAGTTATCGCAGCGCGCTGTAGAAGGAATGTCTCCATGAGAGCTGCCATCCTTTTTTGCACGTCAACAAGTTGTGGCAACGATTGTATACCCTGGGCAATTTGAGACATATACTGCAGATATTGTCGCATTATACCGATGTGCTCCTGGAAACAATGGATTATTGCTGCACAACTCGAAAAACACAGCTCAAAATAAGAAGTTTTTGCTGCGTACCTGTCCTTGATTCATATTTTCCACAGAAAACTCCATGAGTTGACTCAAAGCATCCGATGCTTTGGCCTTACGTGCCTCTGGCTTGGACACCCGTGCTAGAAATAATTGCCTTATATCAATTGAAATCCATAAACTAATTAAACTATTGAACCAAACTGAATGAACTTATGAAGCTATGCAAGTTGAAGGAAATCCGTGTCGTTGTATTTGGAAAAATTTCGTTATTGGGCGTAATTCATGAGGTTCATTTTTTAATCTTGTCTTTTCATCAATAATATCACATACCTTTTTTCGATTCACTTGATGTTTGCACTTCGACGAGTCTCTTCTTTGGAAACCCAGCACTCCCACCTGCAATCGGCCCTGTCGTTAATTTTCCCCAGATTGCCCACACCTTCTCATCTCTAGGGCTCAATTGCACTCCCTTGGGAATTGTTGGATTCCCAGTTTGTTGTAGAAGTCTCCTTAGACATGATTGCTTTTCCAAAGCTCTTTTTTTTAGACCATTCCATGCCTGTTAATTTAATATGATGAATGAGAAAATTATATCCATCAGATTCGTTTATTTCTACTTACATTTAAGCACTGCTTGATTGTTCTCTTGCAACCCTGAGATGATACTGTTTCAGCCAGCCTACACATAAAACAAATTGGTAACTATAGCATTGGCAGATGCGAAGGTGGTAACAGTATAACTTACTCTACTGTCAGATCATTCTTCGTTGAATGTCCACGAAGTCCGAGATCACCATCCCGTGCAAATTCTGTATGCATAGACATAAAATCTACCAATATGTCCAGTTGGCTGTTTGTCATTCGAGGTGCACGAGTAAGTCCAGCCGTCATGGTGGGTTCCATTGGCACCTCATTCTCATCCACTCCTTCGTCTTCCCAAGCATCATTGTTCCTGTAATTAATGAATCAAAAATTCTTTAATATTCAGAACTTGGGAGAGACCTCAACTCTGAATATAACCTAAATGTTGTTAGCTCATAAAATTTATTTATTGTACCATTATCAATGAGGTTTTTATCCGCGAGTATATCCTACATGTTCTATTTAGAGTTTTACAAGTTTTACCTGAAATCTTGGTCCGGTGAGGAAGGATTCATTTTTCGTGGAGGATGATATTCAAATAGCAAACAAAAACACAAATACGCGATCACTGCGCATGCCTGACTACCGGTGATTCATGGATCGATTTGAATCGACCATATGCATTGGAAAATTAAAATCTAGACTAGAATTCGTATATACGTTTCGATAAATGAGATTGACTAATCTTCTATACTTTCAAAATAATTCTGGAAACCAAAGATCGTCTCAAAATCTCGGGCACAGAATTGTCTATTTATGGAATTTTGTTTCTCAATATAAATTCGGTGATTTCCCGGGGTATCATTTTTGTGTATCATTTTTTAGTTGTTAAATATGTCCCAGTAGTCTGACAGTGATGAGAGAACTCATTAGAAGGAGAGGAGAAGGAAACGGAAAGAAATCAGAATGAAAAGAAATATTGAGTTCATGGCTTTATTTTCATGCACATTCCACAATTCGCATAATGTATTATATTGAAAAAGTTTAAAAGTCTGATCTATAAAGATTTTAGTTTCAATATTATCGTTATTATTCTTCTTCAAAAGCTCATAACTAAAAGGATAGAAGATACAGCAGCGTCAAAGATTCAGGATACTTACGCTACTGTAAGCTCGCATGTCATATAAATTGTATACATTTGTCACATCATAGCAGAAACATCAAATTTTTTCGAAGCATAGATACCTGTTAATAGGCAGCGTGGAGACATTTGATCCCCACAATCATCCCAGATTGTTGCAAGACGTGACGTTTCCGACGTGGATTCTTCAAGAGGCCTGCTGTTGAAAATATAGTCCTGCTATCAAGCAACATATTTTCATCTAAAAAGTAGAGTGAGTTGGGTTATTCACATCATATCATCATTTTACATGAGTTCAAGGTAAACATACCGAATTGGAGTAGCTCATTTATTGTCTCTCTTAGACATGAGAAATGATTTAATTGTGGAAATCAACTCCAAGGATAATTTATCACAGCACGATACGGATTTTTACCATTTTTTCCGAAGATTTAGATGAATCTGGGTAGAATTTTTTTCGGAGTTATTATTCGTTATTTCTGGCTTCTCGTCGTTTTCCCCCTCTCCAGAATCGAAGGCAAGTAGCGTTCGGAAACTCAACGAAACTAACGCAAAACTCCCCCTGGCGGAGAATTAAACGTAAGGATTTTAAGGTACCTTAAACGCGGAGAATTTCACCCCTGCTCTGGCTACTTGGCCGTGATCCCTCTAGGAGACAGTACTGCGACTCGGTGGTAGGAAGGTTGGTAAGGTAGAAAAAAGGAAATAGGTGGGAGATGTAAAGGAAAAAAAGCAAGTGCTAAATTTTGAGACCCGTCTTTTTAATAAAGTTGTAAAGAATATAGATGATTTTTGCATCAGGGGAGAAAATTAATTCATTTATGTTGAATTTAGTTATTTTTAATTTTTTGAGAGATTTAATGAGAGTGACACGTTGTTTTTCATAAATAGGACAAAGCCAAAAAATGTGGGGAAGGGTTTGGGATTTTTTGCATTCACAAAGTGGGAGTTGATTATGTTTTTGCGGGCTAGGCTTTCATTTAGGTTGAAGTGATTGGATCTCATTCTGGAAATCATTGTGATTTGGGGTCGGTCGATTTTTAGTTCCTGATACCAAGGGCGATGCCAGCCTCTGTAGAAATGTTTAAAGTAATGATTGCCTTTGTGGTCACCTCTTTTTCTGAGGATGCGGGATGTAGATAATTTCATTAAATTGTTAATGGTTTCTTTGAAATCTAATGAGGGGAGAGAAGCGTCTTGGAGGACTCCGGAGGCGATCGCCCTTTAGCCCGTGTGTCAACCCCCTCATTACCGTGGATATTTCTATGGGAAGGGATCCACGCGAACACGACATCAACACCTTGAACCCTGAGAACGTGCCATTCGTTTAATACTTTAAATGTAAGATGAGATTTGGTGTTTTTGGGAGAGAAGTGCAGTAAGGATAGAAGAACACTTAATGAGTCAGAGAGAATTAGAAATCCAGTGTGATTGATTTGTGGGATAGAGCGGAGGGCAGTGAGAATTGCTAGCGCCTCAGCTGTGAAAATAGATGCAAATGATGAGATTTTATGCAGGATTTTGAAATTAAGGGAAGGAATATAGATAGCGTAGCCTACATAGTCCCTTATGTTGGTCTTCGAACCATCTGTGTAAATTTGAGTGTGGTTATGAAGATCTTTAATGATGAGTTCTTGGAGCTTTTCTTCTGGGCAATCAGCAGATTTGGTCG